TCCCCTTTCTATAAGATCGCCATTTGTATTAAAAAAATAAATAAAGTAATCTATTAAATTTGACATGATTTAAAGAGTCTACTAGGTATTTTATGTATTTTTACTATCAAATCAATAAAAATCAATAAGTTTAGGGTATCCATCAAAGTGTTTATATTTGAAATTGTTTATCTGTTACTCATAATAGTTTGTAAGAGAAGTCAATTCTAGTGACAGACGCTTATAAGTTTTAAAATCAGTTTCAAGAAACGTTTTATTATTTTAGCCAATCAAAATCATTGTTTTTATTCACTGCGGAGATGATGATTCACAAGCATATAAATAGAGCGTGTTCAGTGTGAAAATTCAGTCTGGTCCTGCCGTTGGAGAGTGGAAATGGAATTCATAAAAACTAACTTGTACGTAAAAAATCTCAGATTTCTGGTACTAAGGGACGTTTTATGATTTCTGAAAATTCCTTTGCATAAATTATTTTAGGAAAATATATTTTGATTAGATTTTTGGTTTTGTCCGGACCGTTTAAGATCGAAGTTTTAATTATATTACTAGTAGCCAGGCATCTACGATACTGGTGCTAAAAATATCTTTAACTTCTTCAGAAAACTATTTTATGATTTAAATAGTTAGTCTGCCTGTTGTCCTTGCAAGAGTTGGATAGAGGTAATATTGTATTTACTAGTAGCCAGGATTTAGGATACTGCGTGCTAAAAAATACTTTATTGCCTAAAGTAAAACCTCTTGGACAAGTGTTTGATAGAGAAGAGTTTATTTTGAAGACATAATTTGAAGAATCGGTTTTTGAAAACGTTTTATGATAAGAGTTTGTTGATTTGAAATATAAGAGATAGGTTTAGGAAATGGTGAAATTTTAGTTTAAAGTAAGAGTAAATAGAGTTTTAATTGCTTCTCGAAATATAATATTTTGGATAAGTTAAGTATTAGTTGAAGATTGTTATTTTTGGCATCTAATAATTTCTAGAGTTTTATTAAGTTAATATTTAAAAAAATCAAAAGTTTTAAGGAGAACCACAAGGAAAAAATTTATATTTGAATATTTCAAATCATTTCGGATAAGATATCCCAAGAAAAATTATATATCTGCATTTGAGAATCTTGTGATTTAAAATCATTTTATTTTGTAGCTATAGATTTAAATATACCAAACAGCTCGTACACGCTACACTATAAAGGGGGATGGGCAGTCCTTAATTGCACATCTATGGATGAGCGCTGATCGTTACCCGGTCTTCCGCATTCGTTGCACTATCCTGTTAATTTCCGTCTGACCTTGCCCTAAAACGCTTTGTGCCAGTACACACAAGTGTCCTAGAACAATTATGAACACCCTCCTTCTGATTAAAAAACTTCAGGTATTCAGTCGGAATCATTCCAGACATCGCACAGAATTTTATTTACTGCCCGCTGCTTCCGTACGTTTTTCTGAGGTTGGACATTTTTTTCTGTACAGAATTTTCACGTGGCTTGAATAATCGTCGCACAAAATGGCCGATACGTCATCCGATCACGCTGAATTTGCAGTGTTTACTAGTAACGTTCAGCTGACGTCACGTACAAATCACGACGTTCTGGCTCCAGCTATTTGAGGCATTCATACAAAGAGTATTTATTTACTTCATAGAAAGATCAATTAATTCGGGAAAATGGCTCCGTAACACGTGTTTCGAGGGCTCCCCGTGTTTCATGTGAAAATAATTTTCCAAATATTACTTAAATTGATTTTTTTTTTCAAGTCATCTTCCCCTACTCAAATTAGTTTTAAAATCCTCATGGTAAATTCAATGAACAATCGGACGTCAATAATCTTTTTAAACAGACTTAGAGTTCCGGGCGATTTTGACATATACCTCGTAGTTCGGCAATGTGCAACGGTATACCGAAAATTAATCTTTAAAGGAAGCTAAATGTGCGTTATTTTTCCTCATTAATATCGCGCGAAACACGAAACTTCAACGCCAAGAACGAATAGCCACTTTTTACAATCAATTGGTTATTGGCATTAATATCACTTAAAAAATAAAGGATTTACCACCGTGGCACTGTTATTTATTTGCATATAAAAGTAATTCACTATAGGTGTGTCCCAGTGTATATATAGCGCGAGACACCATTATTCGTGGTGAACATAAGTCACTTTGTAGTGCTTATCATTCAAATAAAAGTGAAAATGACCGGGATGATGAAGGTGATAGTAGTTATCATAGCTGTTCTCCATCATGTTGGAAGAGTGTCGAATTAATTCGATCTTCAATAATAACATTTGGACCATAAGAGTTGTGTTTGTCTTCTCTTGGGCCTCCTCGATAACTGAATAAATGTGGACGTGTTGAAGTGGGTCGGTTACTCTAATTGTCTTATGCATATTTAATCAAGAGCTTTATTGTATTCATCAACTTGATGGGATTATTGTCAAATCTTCTCAATTTTAGCAGGAAAACACTAATTTATCTTACAAAATGTCGCCAATCACCGCTCACGCGATCAAATAAAGCGTTGCCATAGGAACGCTTGCGACCGAACGGACAACGGGATTTTCGTTGATTTTACAGCGACGGGATCTTGTGTGAATTTGAGAGAAAAATTTCCTTTAAAAATAGGGAAAGTTCATCTCTTTTCTAAAGAAGTGGTGAATGGAAGTATTCATAAAAGGTATTTAAACGTCGCGACGTCGCATCTTTAAGAGAATTTTGTTGTGAACAATAAGAATAGAAAAGTGAGCGTTTTAAATTTCATTATCTTTTATATTTTTTTTTAAATCTAAAATCCAAAGCCAAGTGATATTGAGCAGAAAAGTAGAATTCTATAGTATTGTTATTTTCAATTTACGTGTTCACAAGAGAAAAAAATGCAAATGGATTCTCTTAGATCACAGCAAATAACTTTTAAAAAAAAAGCGCTACATTACAGGAATTTATGCCACTGTAATTTCAAGAGATTTTTTTTAAAGATTATATTAATCTACGTTATTTTTCATAATAAATGATCCTAAAAGATCAGCCAGTCTTCAATGACATGATGTTTCCATTTTACTTTTATTTAATAAAGAAAATATCAATAAATAAATATTTATGACTGTATAAATTGCTCGATCAGATTGGAAAAAATACATTGTTTAATTTGAACTGTTACTGATATTTTATGAATAAATAAATAAATAAATAAATGAATAAATGAATAAAACAAATAAAAAATAAAATAAATAAATAATTAATTAATTAATAAACAAATAAATAAATAAATTGATAAATAAATAAATAAATAAATTAATTAATTTATATTGAATAAAAATAAATAAATAAAGAATAAAATATGAAATGAAGCTTGAGGTCTTAAATAAACGCTCATATCTGGAAGAAAGAAAGCATGAAAAAAGTTAAAAAAAAGCAAGCGTGCTTTTTCGTTATTACACATTTCACATTGTAATACATGTAAGTTTTAAAGACCGCGAAAAATATATATTATATAAACATTTGTATAACTGTATTCATTTTCCAGGACTATTACAATTTGATATAATTATTATACTATGCATTAGACAAGATTTAAGGACAATACCGTGGAATAATATCATTTTTGAAACTAATATTTAGGGTGTCACGGTTTAGATAAATATGATATCAGTTTGACAGGTCTACCTTATAAACCGCCTGATTAACGTTTTATCACCTGTACACTTTTGCTAACCCCCCCCCAACCCAAAATCCTTTTAGATTTTCAAAAAATTTTAAAACTTGTTTCTATTATGACAAATGATGACATTTGTTTCGATTTTGTTGTGACTCAAAAATGAAAATACATATCGATTATTATAACATGTAGTAACCTTTTTTTCTTCTTTATCTGTCGTGCCGTGCTCGATCTAATATTGGGATAAAATATTGTTTGAGTAAAATAGAATACAAAAATAAATGTCTTACCTTGTTATAAACACTAAAGGTTATATTTAGAATCAATTTAAAACTTTTCGCCTCTTTGTAAAAAACTTACCTCGGTTATCGGTTATTGAATTTTCTAACAGGGTTTTAAACCGACCGTACCCGTTTAAACGGATAAACGTGACACTCCTTACATATTTAACTGTATGTATATTAATTAGACTATTTGCAGTGGTATCACGCACCGCCTTATCTTTATGAATATTTATGATTTATTTTAAATCAAATACAAATATTTTTCAGCAATTGGAAATACATTCTAGATTTGCCAACATATTTTTCTTTTTGCGTATCTATTTAATGCATAACATGAAAAAATTAATGTAACAAAAGTATTTTTAAGTTAAATTCATTGATAGCAGGGACTTATGCACGGCAAAATGTTTGCGTTTTGCGGTTAAATGTCAGTTTCACGGCCATAATGCTTAAAAGTATATAAGTTTTTACAGCCTGATATTGACATTGCCTTCGTTAAAAGAGAGGAGGGCGGGAAGGAAGGGGGCAGAAGTCTGGGGTATGTAGATTGGAGGGGGGAGGGGGTCGTTGGTGATTGATGAGGCACAATAATTAACACTAAGTATCCTTATGTTAACCTAGTCGTGTAAACTTAAACTCAAAATTTTTAAGCTGAATATTTATTTCATTAAAATCTGTATTTCTTAACAGTGCGTTTTTCATGCAGATTATTGAATATTCTATTTTCATGCACAAGTTCTTTTGCACCAACGCCCTATACTTGACCTAGCTTTACACATATTGCGGGGCTATAGTCGGGTATTTTACATGTTACTGTTTCCCGCAAAACAAGGATTTTACAATGGCTTTGCAGGTCTCTTAGTAGAATTCACGGCATTTCTCCTAAAAACCGAAGTAGCTACTGACAGGTGCTTAATACATTTCTATTGACGCAATTCAACTGAAGAAACTTTCTAGGTTATTTCATGAACAGAGAACCAATTTACAACATACAGTTACATATGTATGTATATGTATAATGAAATTCATTATTCATGTATAATTTCCCTATTATATTACATGTAGTCGGAACAGTATTTTGCTATTTCATTAACAGTTTAGAAACCTGATAATAACATTCTATAGAAACTTTTCCACGCATTTAAACGTTTTATTGAAATGAAGGACGCAATGATTTTATGATCTTGTTTTCATTTCGTCCGAAATAGTTGCAAAAATATATAGGATTTACACCATGTGCCGTAGTATCAAAACCTTGCTCGCCGAAATTTATCTGCTGAGTGCATGTTGGCGAAGTGTTTTAACAATTTGTCCGAACATATCCGAATATCCGTATTCTGTTTTCTTGGACAAATCGCATCATTTTGAGTTTTCCTGGCGGCTAGATTATGAGAAAGAACTTGTGCACTTCCGGGTATGTTTGGCCTCACATCCAGCTTCAGTGTTTGGTGTTGGATTCTCAAACTATGGAGAGATGGAAAATTCAGACTTTGTGATATACTGGACAAGCGAATCTGGAGTACATCATTTTCAGGTCTGTACTCATAAAATATTTATTTTGAAAAATAAGAAAATGCTAAACCGCCTAGCCAATCCTCTTTATTTTAAATTTCCATTGGAACTGAAATAAACTTATAAATCATATGCAATTTGATAGTTGTAATAAGAACGTAGTATAAAATAGTACAAACATTATCATAACAGTGGAATGGATGGGGGAGTGAAGACATTCATTTCTTCTTACATCATGGAAGTTGGTACAAAAAACAATTCATCAGAGTTAAATTAAAGCTATATTATTAACCTAGACGTTAAGATATTACGGCCGTACCATCATTTCGAATCACATTATTTTTTCCGTTGAATTTTACTTTAAGTACAATATGTACGGGTTATCATGAATAAACTTTCGTTGTTTTTAATTACCCTTTGTATGGTTGATTATATATATAATAAAGTAGTGATATAATATAGCGTCTAAGACGGAATTTCATCTCCTAGTAATTATTTAATTGTGCAAATAAGACCTTTTTAAGATAAAAACGGAATACTTAAACAGTGAAATTATCAAAAATATTTTTCAGGACATGTATACGGATAGTGAAGGAATCCCTCATGTTGACAAGAAACAAGACTACAAGCTTGAACACGTACAGACGCAAGGAAAGCACGTTATTCTCGTGTTTAACCGGAAGTTTGACACGTGTGATAAGCATGACTATATATTTGATGTAAGTAGTTGAATAGCTGCACGTGCTTCTTTTCATTCATTAAGGAGCATTCCTCCAAATTTATGTTCCTTAAAATTTTGAAAATGTATTAAGATATAAAATATTGTCAAGTGAACAACGAAAGTAACTTTTACATTTCGAACGACACTTAAAATCTATGACTTTTACCAGAATTGATCAGAATATGCAAAAACAGCCTTTTGCGTTAGTCACCCAGTAAAAATATGGTACTAATAGATACTTCAAAACCGGTCAATAATTGATGTAACAGGTAAATTATTTCTTGAATCATTTTTCTATATATTTTTTTTTAATTCTTAGTATA